GGTTTAACATCTGCTGCGTTTCAGATGCATTCATCTGTGAACTGCTGCAGACAGCTCATACAGGAGAACTCGGATTCTTGTTTGTTAGAAGGACAATTATTCAAATGATTAATAATCCTGCATGAACTCATTTAGAGCAGCTAATCTGAATAGATTAAAACACAGGAAAATYCAGCGAGAGGCAGGAAGAGACACATTGGAAAATCTCCACTTAAACCAGCAAAGCTACTGGTGCAAAGCTTTTCAGTTTTAGAAAAATGAAGGATTTTCTCCTCCCATCTTTCACCAGATCCAAGCTGATTTTTCCTTCAGCGTTTTGTTTTCTGACCYGATGTCTTCTCGTTAACGCAGGAATGCTGCAGTGGAACACATGTACACCTCTCCAAGCTGCAGGACCGGACACGCACGGTGCAGAGCAACAGAAACGGCAGGTATTTTCCTGTGTTTGAGTTGGAGGCGTTATCTGATCTTCATCCCTAATTAACCTGCGTGTGCATCAGTGTGTGGCGTTCAGAGTCCGTGAAGCAGGCAGGGGCTTCTGCACACACACACTGTTCAATAACCCACTCCACGACACCAACATGTACACACAGGTGGTGCAATCCCTCCACGAGTGTGGCCGACTCCGTGTCTAAAGATAAATACGGAGAAACAAACCCCCAAAAAAGTCCCAGAGAAACCAAAACAAAGGCTGAAGGCATGAGAAAGCTGCAGAGAAACCTAAACACTGCGAGGTAAAAATAGACCTGCCAAACAAATCCCATCCTCCTGATGACAATAACCACAAAGAAAAGAGGAGGGATCAGGTGATTCATCCTCAGACACATCAAACCTCAGGTCAACATCTGGAAACRGGACTGAATTATGTCTGATTTTGTGTTTGATAAGGTAGATGGGAAGAAATGACACGACTGCCTGGTTTACACCAAGACCCACTTGGTGAAAAGGTTCAATCTTTTGAAACATTTACGTTGTAAACGTGCGATTTCTGCAGAGTTGAGCTGAAATATTCAAAGCAAAGAGACAAAAAATACCTCACAACTTGTCTTAAATGATCTGAACTTCACCTCCAGAGAGGATGTGTGGATTTTAGTTTGTAACTGAGCCGAGGTGAGGTGCTGATGTGTTTGAGCCCAGTGGTTAAATAATCAGCACAAATAAACAGAGAGGGCTCGTTTCAATGCAGTTACACACACGCACACACACACACACACGCACACACACAGATAAGCTGCAGATATATTTTCATACACAAACCTCAGTGTCGACGCCTTGTTCTGAAAGTCTGTTCACTCAGAACTATTTGCCTTTCAGCCACTTTCCTTCAACATTTTTCAGCAAACATCTCAACACAARCATATTTATCTGTAAACAAAGACTCTATATTTATCTGCACACGGTCTAGTTCGACCAGAAAAGCCTGCGCTGATGAAAGACATTCGGGCAGGTGCGTGCAGCGACCCCCCCCCTTTTTTTTCTTTTTGCATATTTCCGTACACATGTTCACCTGTTTTTACATTTGTGTGCACGTGAATCCCTCTCTGTCCCGCAGGCTCACAGCAGATGGGTTTTACTGAACGAAATCAGTCTGGTTCTGTCCRGAGAGTATCTGAGGATGAACCAGGACCCGGGTCTGTGGTTCTGAGTGAAGCAGGGGGAACCTTAAGGT